ACAATGGCTCTTTCTTGGGTAAAGTGCAAGGCACAATGGTAATATTGTCCTATTAAAAAGATAAAATTAGTTTACACCTCTCGCCTTAAAAATTCAGTTGAGTTGGACCTCACGCCTTAAAAAATACAAGCCTAGACTTATTTATATATCAAGTACCAACTTTATAGTTTTCAACAATTTTCTCTATTGTTCAAATAAAAAAAATTAATTTTCAATAATTTTAAAATTGAAAGGTCATATATGTAATAATAGGAAACTGATGTTGCTTTTTCATTTGTGTTGAGCTATGAGAGTAGATGACCAATTAAATGAGTTGTCAATTATCATTTACAGTAATCAGATTATAGTGTGTCTACTTCGTATATTAGACATGAGATTAATCAACTATGTTATTGTTTCATTGTAATTTTGTTTTTTTTTCCCTGATTCATTGTAATTTTCTTCAGTTATTTGGCTAAGACTGTAGGCTCTGATTTCAAGGACGGCTCTACGTGGAAAGCGTTACATGAGTAATTTGGGCTCTTTGTTAAAGAATGAAAGGTATTCTACAAATATAGAGATAGAACTTACGGGTGAACACCTTATTTATTTCAAAGTGAGGAATGTTCTTGACCTCTGAAGCATAGACCAATATTATCAAGTTTGAACAGTATTTTGTATTGCAATATGTTAAAGGTAAGCTTATGGTTCCATTCTGCCATGTTAGTTTTATTTTTTTCTGCCAGATGCTATGTTATTCATCATTAGAAGTTGAGACTTCTAATTCCCTTAAATTGGAATTGTGAAATATGATTTTATTTATTACCTAAAATGTTCCACGTATAGTGTGCGTGTACAACACCTAGTAACTACGTAAAAAGGATTCTAATTTGTTATGAATTTATTGACTTTGTTGCTCATTTGAAATTTCTTGTTATAAATAATCACAATACCTAGTATACTCCACAAAATGGAGGAGTAAAAGTTAACCATTTGATCTTACAAATCAAACATTAGTAAAGTTGTGTCCGAGTAGGTGAAAATTTGTTCACCCCTTATGTACCATTTTGAGTCGAGTTTCAATAATCGATATGATACTCTTCTCTCTTTTTTATTAATGAGTGGACTAAATATTTCATTGCATATTGAAATAAACTCTGGCAAAACAACCTAAGTTTAGACATTCTGAATTAAAATTTTTGATTTTTTTAATATCTACAATGAAAGTTCATGTTGATTCCAAAAACAGTTCACTGTGGTGGATGACTAGAGTTGTGACTTGGCGATCGGCGGGACTATTCCTACAAGAGAAGTCGAGGAACCGAGGGATTCCAGTGGTCGATATTTCAATGATAAAGTAAAAAAAGATGCTGAGAGTAGTCAATTTACTTGGATAATGATGAGCTTGGCCTTTTTATAGGTCAAAAAATTAGACCGTTGGAAAATCCTCATCAATTATTTGAATGAGGTGACACCAAAAGTGGAACAGAAGATGACGCCTTCTAACGTGAATAACTCAACTGACTTGAATTGATCAAACTATGTCGAACTAAGAAGTTGTCGAGTTAGAACGTTAGCGAGCAATGAGTCGAGGGCCTTTCCGAGCCATGGAACTCCTCCTCTAAGCAACAAAGTTTCTCTGTTGAGCTTGTGCTTAATTTATCATTATCAATTACATATTATACATGTGCATGATCTATCGCGTAAATAATTGTTCACCAAATTTGTACTTCCTGGATGTATATTGTATAACAGACGAGGTGTCAGGCAAACTATTCTTGTTTTGTTAAATAAAACGACTTTTTTTTTGCACAAAATAATATCTATTTTGCTAATAACACATTTACAGTAAAAAATTAATAATAGATGAGCTGGATCCGCAATCCCCAAATCCCCACAATTTGGAAGTTTGGATAAAATTTTAGCAAGAAAAATGTTAAATAAATTAAAAAATTAATAATTTAAAAACTTGAATTCATGAATTAGGTTAATCGTTTAGTCCTTTTCCTATTCTAACTATAATTAGCTCTCTCTCTCACTCTGCGTTTCCGTCTGTATAAAACGCTTCATTTCCTCGTTTTACTCTTTCTATTCTCTCCAATCTCTCTGCATAGACACATATACATACATATATTTTCTGTCTCTATCATCATCGTCATGGCAATGAACAATGGATCATCAGCATCATCAAAAGGTCTGATCGTGAGCTTTGGTGAGATGTTGATCGACTTCGTCCCACAGTCTCCGGTGTATCACTCGCTGAAGCACCAGGCTTTCTCAAAGCCCCAGGCGGTGCTCCGGCGAACGTGGCTATAGCCGTGACTCGGCTAGGTGGTAGAGCCGCCTTTGTCGGCAAGCTCGGCGACTACGAGTTCGGTCACATGCTCGCAGGTATACTGAAAGAGAATGGTGTTTCCGGCGATGGGATCAACTTCGACAAAGGTGCGAGGACTGCTCTGGCGTTCGTGACTCTACGTGCTGACGGTGAGCGTGAGTTCATGTTCTACAGGAACCCCAGTGCCGACATGCTGTTAACGCCGGAGGAATTAAATCTTGAGCTTATTAGATCTGTAAGTATTTGTCACAGACTATCATTTATGAATTTGGGGATAAGTCGAAAATTCTTTTTACCGTATTATAAAATATAATTTATAAAAATCTACCCTCCAACTACGATGAGGACCCATCATCTAATAACCAATTTTTTTAGAGGTCATAGCCCAAATTTTGTATAACAAAAAATTAATTTAAAATTTTAATTTGATGATGTGACTATTATATTTATTATTGATTTAAATATAAATTCTAATATTTATTATGACATATTACCTATTTAATTGTAATGTTTGTTTAAGTTTGGTTTTTATGACAAAATTTTAGGCTCTATTTGAATGGCGGTAATTTTAGTTAGGAATGCTAATTTCATTCCTAAATCTATGAATTGCCAAACTGATGAGTCGATACTTTATAGCGGGAATAAAATTGCCATTGAAATCAAATTTTCAATGACGATGAGAATCTTAAATCCACCATCAAGGATAGTAATCTCATGCCCAACTTAATTGGGTATTCAAAAAAAAAAAATCAAATTCAAAGCCTTTCAAAAATTTAGTTTATTGCTAAAGCTAAGCTATCTTTTTAAAATCATGTTTCTTCCTAAAATAAAGTTCATTGCTAAAAACAATAATGAAATAGATATTCATTCATATACTAAATTATTAACGACATTAAATACTAAATAAAATATTATTACAATTTTTTAAATTCAGGTATCAGTTTATCAAAAATGAGATGCTTAGTTTCGATTAGGATTACTATCATCCAAACGGGATGTAGTCTATTTTACATTTTTTTTTTATCTTAAATACATTTAAATCACATATTCTGTTGTGGGGCCCAAAAAATTAATTTTTTCAATTAGTCTGTGGTGCAAATTTATTTACAATATAAAATTTGAGCTAAGACTTGGGCTGCATAGTATTTTTAATATCGTGAAGTATTTAATTATTTTGTCATAAATATATGGTAATGCCATGGAGATAGGAAACGTTGAGGGAATTTTGACTCAGTCAATCACGGTTTGCCTTCTTTCGAGAGCACGACAACTATTACCCTCCCCCCCCCCCCCCCCCCCCAACAAAAAAAATGATAGTTAAAGTTGTAACTGTATAAGCCTTTTTTTAATTGCTCTAAAAAATCTTAGATTGATTCTAAAATATAAAGATTAATTCTGGAATTTAGAATTATAATTGAATTGGATGTATATATATATATATCTCTGGCGTGTGTGTGTGTGCAGGTGTGTGTTTTTTTTTTTACTTTTTAAATCGATTGTTTGATATATAAAATTTGAATAAAATTTAAAAGTGTTTGATGAAATTTTTCAAAGATCTTTATTTAGATTTGTGAATTTTGGATGATTTTTCTATTTCGATTTTGTGATGTTGAATGTCTGATTGAATTAAATGAAGTTCAATCCGTATTGTTTTTCTTTTGTTTCAGTGATTTCAACCGAACCTAACAAAAAAAAATTTGGTATATATATTATTTGGATTTCGATGATCCTTTTTACCAAACAACAAATGTGCCATAAAATATGTGAATGTCAAATGTAGTGATTCTCGTAATAAATAAAAAAATGGCATAATCAGTTCAATTTAGAGAACAAAAAATGTTAAATGAGTTAGATTTAGTCACTTAAAAAAGTCCTTACTTGAATTAATTGACAAAATAGGGTTTTTTTTTAATGGTAATTGACAAAATAGGTCATTAAAATAGACTTAAGAAAAATTCTCACTAAAAAATACTACTTTATGAATTTTTAAAATTTTTTACCAAATCTTATTTTTCCTTTCAGTACCATAGTACCTTTCTAAGGACATATGTCCCTACATGAGAAAATAGTCCCTACATATGTGCCTACATAGTACATTTCTAAGGACATATGTCCCTACATACCCTTTTTGACAGCGACTATGCGTTTTCTAAGGACATATGTCCCTTCAAAAGCAGTGTCGGTTTGTATTTTTTATATCTTTATTTATTTTTATAATCTCGATGTGCCACCGCTGCTACGCCACAAATACCTTCCATAATTCACTCAAAAAAATTGAAGTATCTATGCATGCTCACCATTTTTTTTAATTTCCTTTTGTTAAAAGAATCAGTACCTTAAATAGTTTATTTAAGTATTATTTTAATTAAAGGTATTTTGCCAAGTGCTGATTTTATGGATTTTTTATCTTAAAAATATTTAGGCAAGCCCAAAAAAATCTAAATGTGGACTTTTGGCTTGTTTTCCTTTTTTTTTTTTAATCTAATCAAAAAATAGTAAATAAACTCAAAAAATGAGTGCACCTAAAAAATTAATAAATTCTAGGAAAAATTTCAACTACACCCCTCTTAGTTTATTATATATTCAAGGACACCTCATCTGTTATCAAAAACATTACTGACACTCATTCTAGTTTATATTTAAACTTCACCAACACTCCTACCATTAAACTATCATTTCTAACAAAAAAAAATCATCTAAAATACAAAAAATGCCCCTACATCAACATCAAGTAATTTTTCTAGATAAAATTTTATTAAAATTCTAACTGATTAAAATTTATTTTTCTCCATATTAAAATTTGAATCAATTAAAATTCGATTAAAGCTGATTAAATTTTATTTTTTTTAACGTATTAAAATTTGAGGTTATTAAAATTTATTTTTTACATATTAAAATTTGAGTTGATTTAAATTCTACCCGAGTTATTAACGTCAATTAAATTTCGCTTTTGAGTCTATTAAAATTTATATTTTTTTACTTATTAAAATTAGTGTCAATTAAAATTTGATTTATTAAATTTTATATTTTTTTATGTATTAAAATTTAGGCTATTAAAATTTTAATTAGTTCAAATTTTAATACATAAAAATATAATTTTTAATTGGTTCAAATTTTAATATGTAAAAAAATAAATTTTAATTAACTTGAATCGAAATTTAATTGGCCCAAATTTTAATACGAAAAAAAAAATTACAAAAAAGAGTGAGTCTCATTGAAGATTTGTTTATCTAGAGAGGGTGTGTATGAAGTTTGTTCTCAAATATATCATGGGAAATTTAATAAAATTGTATTATAGTTAATATTTTTAATCTGATAGGGAGTGTCAGTGAAGATTTAAAAAATAGAATATCAAAAACTGATATCCAATATAAGTTCTGGGAAACTCTATGGTACCTTCAAAAAGATTTTATATCGGTATGATCAATTATTATTTTATATGAAAAAATTATAACTTTTGGTATGTTGATGGTACTATAAAAATTCCCATAAGTTTTATTGCAGTTAATCAAATTTTTGTGGACTTATTTATTTGTCATGTTTAATAAGTCTATCTGTAATTTGTATGCTATCTAAATTCTACAATCAAATCCTTTAAAAATAGGGATAAAAATCTAAAAACTAAACTCATTCCTCATGACTCCCTCGCAGAAACCATGTTCCCCAGCTATAACACCTTGGAAATCCCTTCCCTCCTTCCTCCAGTGAAATAGACAAGTAGTTGTCGTAATTCAGGTTTCTGTCAATGGTACTTTTGTCTTTTCCGTCACTTTTAACATTGAAAATTAATGGTTGGAGTTAATTGAAACACAGTGAAAAATTGAGGGGAAATTTATCTAATTTAAAACCACAAGAAGTTAATTGTAAGATAACCCAAATTTGAAGGGGGCAAATTGTAATCAACCCTTAAAAATAAACTTACTAATTAACCCAAATTTTAAGGTCAGCGATATCTAATGGTTTGTTTTATTATTTCAATGTAGGCAAAAGTCTTCCACTATGGGTCAATCAGCTTGATCGTGGAGCCATGCCGATCAGCACATTTAAAGGCTATGGAGGCGGCGAAGGATGCCGGAGCTTTGCTCTCTTACGATCCCAACCTCCGGCTACCATTGTGGCCGTCGGCCGAGGAGGCGCGTGAGCAGATAATGAGTATATGGGACAAGGCAGATGTGATCAAGGTTAGCGACGTGGAGCTAGAATTTCTCACAGGCAGTGATAAGATTGATGATGAGTCTACAATGTCATTGTGGCACCCAAATTTGAAGCTTCTCTTGGTGACCCTCGGAGAAAATGGTTGCAAATATTACACTAAGGTATTGGAGTTGCCATTAAATATTACACTACGGTTGAAAATAGATTTTTTTTTGGTTAAATAACCATTAAATTTGACATTTAGCATTGGAATTGCCAGTTCTATTGTGTTTTATGCAATGATGCCATAATATAATGATCTGAAATCATGCTTCTTGTTGCGTATTTCTTTTTTGATTGTGTATGTTAATTGTGAAATTTTAGTGCAATAGGTAGTGGTAGCCCGCAGCGTTTGAGGATCAACCGATGGTCTAATAGCCAACGCAGCCCGTTGTTGGACTATTGGACTATTAAGTCATGGGTTTGAACCTCAATGTCCCATAAATATTTTTAAAAAAAAGATAGTGCTAGCCCCACTCCCCTCCTTGGTTTTGAAGATCTGCTGCTCCCAATATCCGAGCAACATAAAATATTCTGTGGGTTTTGTCCTTATAAATAACGTCTTAAATGCTATTTAAATTGCATGTGACTAAGTGGTTGTCTCGATAGCTTCTGATTTAGTGAAAGAGTGATTTAGGTGAGGATGTTTCACATTCCGCTTAATATGCCCGACCCAGTTGAACCCTCTGCATGACTTGAAGAACTCTGGAAGTGCCTAACTTAGAAACCAGATTAAAATTATCTGTTTATACAGTATGAATTGAACTGGATGTTCTCATAGAAAGGAAGCTTGTAAATCCTGATTTATACTAGCTAGAACTGGTTTAATAAGAAGTTTCTGTCACAAGTCAAATTCCAGAAAGTTCAGAAAACTGTTAGTCTAAATATTTTTTTTCCTTCCTTTCTAACATTTGAGAAAATTTCCCATACGTGCACAATACAGAATTTCCATGGAGGTGTGGAAGCTTTTCATGTCAAAACAGTGGATACAACCGGGGCTGGTGACTCCTTCGTTGGTGCTCTTTTATGCAAGATCGTCGATGACCAAGCCATACTGGAGGCAAGTATTAAAACTGTTATTCTTTACGTAAGTGGTCTGTCGTGTCGTGTGTTTTACTAGTCCAGCAACCTACTAATACAAGAGAGATACCAGCACCAATATTTATTTCTTCCGCTTCTTTAGGTGAAAATTCAATTACATGACTTCACGTTCCAGAAAGAAAAAGAAAATTGAGTAACATGGTTTCTTATATTTGCAGGATGAAGCAAGGTTGAGGGAAGTTCTGAGATTTGCATGTGCATGTGGAGCCATCACTACCACCAAGAAGGGAGCAATCCCTGCTCTTCCCACTGTATCAGCAGCCCACGGTCTTATTAAAGGAGAATAGAAGAATTAAAATGCTTCCCTTTGTTTTCCTTACCCTTCTTCTAAATTTAGTTTTGATTTCTCCCATTGGGATTTTGCTTGCAATTCAATTGAAGTAGGTTTCCAATCGAAATTCTTTTTTTCTCTTTTAGATCTCAACTCTCTCTCTCTCTGTTAGTTGCTTGTAATGATGAGAGACTATGCTTGAAGGTTTGAACAAATCAATAGTCATCATGTTTGCCAACTGATAATGCTTTAAAAACTGTAGCCATTAGAATTCATGAAATGCGGTCATTCTTGTTTTTGAATTCCTCACCACACAGCTTCTACCAACTCGGATGGACTGCATTTTCTTTTGTTTATTATTTCTTTTTTCCCCTTGGGTCATCCCACATTATTAACTGCACTGCCGAAGGTTCTTTTCCTTTTCCCTTTTCCCTTTCCCCTTTTGGCCATCCCACATGCTTCTTTGTTATATGATGGGGTCTCGTAGCTGTATTTCTACTTTTCATCCAGTAAAATTTTGATGTGTGTAAAGTGTTTCTGTTGTATTGTTTTTTTTTTTTATTTATTATTCTTTTAATTTTTGGTTGCAAATCATCTAAACTAAAATCAGTGATTGAATTTCGGTACCCATCAATCTGATACCATAAATTACTAATGTCACCGAAAAGTATTGTTCATTTTTGAATGGCTATTGACGAGTTTTGAATCCCTGGTTCCTCCACATTCTGAAGATGCATGATATATTAACACCCAGCCGACAAAAGTTTACTTAGAGTGAAAGGAGAACTTTTGACAAAAATTAGCCACCCCAGAAACTTTATTTCTAAATTCAATTAATTTTAAACTTATTTTTAAACTTAGTCTCTTTTTTAAAAAAAAAAATTTAGCGGTCAATCCCTCTATATGGACTTATTTGGATTTACGTTCGTCAAAGAAACTTATTTTTTATAAAATTTATTTTTTGTCAATTGTACCAGATTATCTCTTCTCTTTAGAAGTGAAATAAAACTAAAAATTAAAAATTATTAAATTTTAGGAGTTTGACTAATATTAAATATTTTTTCTCTCATATCTATATATTCATATGTAAGTTAGGACTACATATATATATATATATAATCTTGTCTATAAACCATTAACGTTATCTTTCCCTTCTTGGGAAAGAACATGATAGCTTAAATATATTCTGTTGATTTATATGCAAATCTATTACTAATTCTTGCTGCTTATGTAATTTTGATTTAATTCTCTTATACTATTGCTACTCTGAACTTGTTAGGTCATTTTGTTATAATGCTTTTCTTTTATTCCTATGGGTCTGCACCAAAGTCGTGTGTACGATGTTTGGCCGTTGTTTGAGTGAAAGATTGAGACCGTTTGTATTCCTAGTAAATTGTTGATAGCAAGAGTAGGATGTAGAAAGGAAACACTACGAGAATAATAATAGCAAAATTCATTGTATCCTATAGTAGTACTGTAGAAGAATTAAAAGACGAATTACAGTAACAAGCAGAAGAAGGTAATAGAGAAACATATAAGTTATCTACCAAACATGGCATTAAGCTTATTTAAATTAAAATTTATCATAAAGATGATTATGTTAAAAATATGGAAGAAATAGAACTCTCTAATATTAAAAATAAATTGCATAATTGGGATATATCCTAGTACCCCTCTAAGAAAATTTATAATTTGATACTTTTGATTTTAAATCGAGTTTAACAATTAAAACGGTTGAAAGGACTATTGATCATAATAAAGATATTTTACAACTTTTAACTAAAAAGGAAGTCTTAAAAGTTCAAGAAAATTATAAATTTTTGCATATTGGATTAGTTCAAGTTGCTTTAAAACCATAAACTCTTCGAGGATTAAATGTCTATTTTATGTTAGCACTGAGAGATGTTAGATGTCTTGATTTTGATCAATCTTTAATGGGTGTTATGCAATCCAACTTCAGTACTGGTCTAGTTTATTTTAACTGTCTTCCTAATCTTTCTGTATCTTTATCAAATAAAAATATTCTAGATGTTTTGACGTGTAGTATTAAAACTTACAGATATAATTATAAAGATGGAACAAATATAAATACTTTCACATATAGAGTATATTATAAAGTCATAAATACTTTGTGTCCAGAAGCTAAACTCCATAACCATAAAGGACAAACAACTTTAATTGAAACAAATATGATTAAAAATAAAATTGAAGTCCCTAAAACTATTAAATTGTCAAAAATCCAGTTATCAGAAACTTGGCAATTGGAGTCCGTAGTTTCTAAAATATCATAAATAAATGAAGAAATAACTCAAATTGCCCAATTATCTCAGGGTGATGTTATGATAAAATTTTCTAGAACTAATTCTATAAATTATTTTAAATCTTTTGATAAATCAGAAACTTTATCAGTTTATTATACTCCCACTAGAAGATCTACTTCCTCGGTCCCTAATCGAATAAGAGATAAAGAACCCACAATTGAAAGAATTAAAATTTCAAAAAATATTTCACATGGAATTTATAGACAAGATAAATAAATTTTTAATGAATCTTCTCTTGAAGAAGATATTGATCCAACTCCATCTGAAATCAGATTTCAACTATAATCTTTATTGACTTACACCAAAAAGAATTTGTTGTTAATAGAAAATAAATTAATAAAGAATTTAATCTTCGTAAATATGAAGAATTTAGGAATTGGTATTTTAAAATAATGAGTCCTCAAGAACTTCAAAACTATAAAGAAATATTTTACCTTTATATAAAAAGGGAAAAAAGGGTAATACTTTTTTTAAACTGGTTTTTAACCAATTATACTCCACTCACTATGTAATATCTAAATGTGATTGAAAAATTTCAACATAAATGAGAAACTTTGTATGTTTTTATCCCCCAACAACTGAAGCTGTAAAATTAACTTCAACTGATAAAGGAGATATTGTATTAAATGCTTGTTATACATCAAAAGAGGATGATATAGCTAAAAATATTTTCATATGGCAAAATAATTATATAAATGTTTCCTTACAAGCTGTAGGCTAACACCTAACTAAAATTGAAAATTTAATAAAAAATCAACACTCAGAAGCTTCGTCTTCCCAGTTCTTTAAAGATAATGACTTTGAACTGGTTAATATAAAGTCACCCGTTGATACTTCCACATTTAACCTGCATAATAAAGTGGAAGATGAGTTCATAAATGCACTCAAACATAAATTACAAAATTATTATTAAATGTAATATCTCATACATCAAGTATAGAGCAATCGGAAATTGAAGTTCAAAAATTTGAAGATTCTTTGCACCAAATGAAGATTGAAAAACTTAATAAAATCGACCACTCTAACTCAAAAACCTAATACATATCAGCAGCCACCTCCATTGAGGGCATATTATCAAAGATCTATCCCTCAAGATATTTTATATGAAGAACGATTTTTAATTGATCAAAGTGGATATGATGTCTATTCTATTTAAGAATGGAATATTAATGGCATGTCAGAATATTTAATTTATCAAGTTCTACACAAAATCTTACTGTACGTCTCGATATGTCGGGCTAATCATAATTCAGATCATAATAATGCTAAATTCATAAATGCAAGATTTATTGGCCAATTAAAAGACTGGTGAGATAATTATTTAAATCAAATTCAACGAAATGAAGTTTTAAATGCAGTAAAAATTATAACAGCCAAAGATGAGAGTATAACCACTCAAGAAGATGTCATTTATACTTTAATACAAACTATATTAAAACACTTTGTTGGAGCAAGTTTTCAAAATATTGATAAAAGCAAAGAACTGTTAATGAATTTAAGATTCATCACCTTAACACATTTTAGATGGTATAAAGATGTATTTTTGGCAAAATTTTTATTAAGAACAAATGCTAATAATGAATTTTGGAAAGAAAAATTTATATCAGGATTGTTTAGCTTGTTTGCCAAAAAAAATAGGAATACGCTTAAAGCAAAGATATAGAAGATTTAAAATCCCTTATGAAAATTATACTTATGGAGAACTAATTTCTGAATATATTTTAGAAGGATTAGCTATCTGTAATGATTTAAATCTAAAAGTTCAACTTAAAAGACATAAATTAATTGGTCGAAAAGAACTTGAAGAATTCTATAACCAATTTGCATATAATCTTGAAATTTAAAAAATAAAAAAGAAAATCAAAATTAACGTTAAATGAAATAGTAAAGAAAGAAATAATAACTTAAAATTAATGTTAAGGCTTATTCTAAGTCTTATAAAAAGGGAAAGAAATTCTATAAAAAAAATTATGAAAAGAACAAAGTTAACAAACCCACTAAAAAGGTTAAAGAGACAGATAAAAAGCCTATTCTTAAGTGTTTTAAGTGTGAGAAAGAGGATCATATAGCCCCTAAGTGCTTAACTAAATAACAGATTAACTAATTAATTAATTATGAGAATTTTAATAAAAAATTTTAAAACTTGTTTTAAACTCAGAAAGTGATCCCGAAGACTTTTATAGTGATTCTTTCTCTGAAGAGGAATACAATATTAATGAAATTAGCAATTCATCCTCAGATAAAGAAAATTTAGAGCAGGATAAAACTTATTCTTCACACTATAAAGCAGAAACTAATTACTATAAATCTATTTTAGATATGAATGAATTAAGTATAAATACTTTAACTAAGTTACAAACATCAATTCTTGATCTTATAAATAAAATTCAATATTCAGATTTTAAGAAAAAAGCTATTGAACAATATTTAGAAATAAATCCAGAAGACAAAAGGCCTAATATATCTCAATATTATTCCTTAAAAGAAGTCCTTAATAGAACAGAAATCATGATTGATAATCCCCCACATCTAAAAGGGGTTTCTCTCACTACGATACAAGATTTAAGAAAAGAGATTCATTATCTTAAAGATGACATAAAAGTCATAAAACAAAGACTTTTAGCTTTGAAAAATTACCAATTAAAGAAGATGACATAAAGGCATTAAAATTTTCCAATAATGAATATTTAAATGA